CCTTATCATCAGTGTCGGGTTGCGTTAAACTAATCGGCGCGCTCATTATGGTTTGTCGAACCCAACTCCTCACGGAAGGTTCCACCTGAGTATTCCGGTCTTCATCATCCTCGAGTCGATTTCCGCTTCCCGGTTGAAGCGTGCTAACTCCAATTGTGACTTAGCTAAAGAAGCAGCTGCCTCTGCTCGTTTGAGCTCTGAGCGTTCAAATTTAATCCGCGCCTCCAATTCGGGTCTCAGCCACGCTGACCGCGATGACCTACTTACTACCTTTGCGAATTAATTCTCGGCCGGGAAATCGAACCCCGAACTTTCGTTCGACATTCTATTGAATATATTGACCATTAAGCCTTTAATATAGATTATCTCATTATTTCAAGTGCCTTATACAATTTAATATGCAAACTTGTGTTTTTATGAAATGAAAATGATAAAATATTGTTTAAACGCGTCGCCAACAATCACTATACCATCGAGTTCGAAGTTTTTATTGAAGTGTCAACAAAATACTCTTTGCATATTTTATCGTATTTACCTACTACGGGGAGTAGTAGGTAAATACGATGAAATATGCAAAGAGTATAAAATATGTAAGAGTATGCTATCATTTAAATAAATCGCTAGTTAGAACTAGACATGGGACGAGTACTCGGTGTGGATTCGGTACTCAGCGGATTCGGCCTTTTTTTAGGGTTCGGCCGAGTACCGAGTATACTCGGCCATAATTATATCCCAGAGAAAAATAGACAAAAAGCCAGTTTTATCATTATTATTATATTAGACACATTAAAAAACATCAGGAACATGAGAAGCAGCAGAAATATTTAGAACTTACATAAGAATCTATAATATAATTTTTTATTACTAATATTTAAAATTTAAGAGCGGAAGATTGTGATGCAAAAACGCTAGTTTTTCGGCCCTATTTGGGTCTAGTTTGTAAGGGAAATAACCGCACGCCGCCCGCTACCCCTTTTTTTTAAAGCCGAGTATTCGGCAGAGTACTCGGCCCCATCTAGGCCGAGTACCGAGAATCACTACTCGTTCCATGTCTAGTTAGAACCCTCTGTGGGAATTTCCCAACACTTTGTAAAATACGACTGTAGAAATTGGTATTTTTATTTGACAGGCGCCAATATTTCATTTTATAACTGGTGCATCGGACGGTGAAGACGCAAAGGCGTTTTTCCCTGGTTGACCCGTCATACTGTGCAGCGTAGCTCTACGATATAAAGTGTAAGTGGATACTGCGGCCCATTCACTCCTGCCCTCACACTGAGGACTGAACAGAAATACCTCAAAGTATGTTATTACAGTGGTAGTCCCATACCGTTCAAACCGGATCATAGAAGAACCGGAACGCACTGCTACTTGATGTCAGGGAAAAAATAACAAAAATAGGGTGTCTATTGGATATGTCGGAAAGATTATGGATTTAGATAAATGACGGAATATGATGATGATCAAGTTGAGTGTCAACTACTTATTTAAAAATTAGCTAATTCAGCTACTGGCTACCGTGACGTAATGAGACGATTTGATTTCGCCATTTTGGAGCAGCAGCAGTGAACGTCTACGGAACTAATAATAGAGATAGGACAGTCTGACATAATATACAAGTCGCGGCACGTAACTCTAGCGCTGAACGAAACGTGGAAGAGACGCGCACGAATTGAATTGCACGACTGCGACTGGGAATTCAATCAGCGCGTGTGAACGATATGCACGAGCCAATCAGCGCGACTATGTGCAATAACGGTCACCGCTAGACTTTCGTGCTGCTACTTCGCTTAGTCACAAGCTTTATACCTCATTTAAAACAAAACTCTTTTTTATAGGATAGGGTGACAAACGAGCACACAGTTTACCTGATGGTAAGTGGGTGCTGTGTCCCATAAATCCTCGATTAAGAATCAAAATGTTAATATGTTGCTACCCTTGAAGACTGAGATGGAATGCCTCGTTTTCAGTAAAAAGTCTCCGGTTCTCTACACTCACCATACGAAACACAGCAGCGTTACGCTGGTTTTCTCTGAGAGCGTGGTCCTTCCCCGATCGAGTTGAGTTGTATATAATAATCGACGCTGCATTAGTCTATCTACGTTTCTCTTCGTAAGTATAAAACTGGTTTTTTTGCGGGTTTCACCATTGGTTAAGTATGTACGGTTCATTCGAGAGGTTTAAAAAATTCCAAAGAGTAGAAGAAACTGGAGTAGGTAACTACAAAATAAGTATTTTGTAAAGAATTTATTGTTAACTATTAATTTAGTCCTCATACTAGAGGAAATCAATAAGCTGCCAAAATAATGCCTATTTCATATAGGTACAATTCGAATTTTACAAACTTTATATTACATTAATGAATACCATACCATACCATAAATCATAGACGCCAAAATCTATTTGCTACGGACGCCAATTAAAGTTTTATGCTTTTTCATTTCATATTCACATTCACATTTTTCGTATAGTAGTCAGTTGAAAAACTGTAAATTAATAAATATTTGATAGTTATATCTTGTCGCAGCCCTATTAAACTTTATTGTTTATCAAAAATATGTAATTTAAAGCAAAACAGATTATAAGTACCTATATTATTATCACATAGTTTTAATTTTTTATATAAACTCTAAATTTACTTTTCATCGTTGAAAAACTAAATTACTTGTGGAATGTTACCACACTTCCCTTCTGGTAAAGAGTTTTACAAATCACGCACACTATCATTGTTACTAAAACAAGTGGAATGCGGGAAGTAAAGACTGCGTAAGAATTTACAGAAGGAGGCGGAGTTATAGCCGAAATAAGAACTTTATTTTTGACCATTTTGACCCACTAGGGGTGTAATGAGAACTTTTTGCCCCTATTCAACTATGACATCCGCTACATGACAGACTATTCAAACTGACTAGGCCTAAAGTTCGAATCAACCCCCAACTCATTTCTAGTCTTTAGAATAGAATAATTTTTATTCAATATAGATCACATGTGCAATTCTTATTTAGTCATTTTTTACTTTACCACTGGTTCGAAAAAAACCTCTGTGCTGGGAAGAACCAGCAAAAAACCCTGCGGGACATTTTTTTATAAGCATATTTTACATTACTGGTTGGCACAAAATTTATTTTAGAAACTGCTTGGAAGCGACCACATCATTCCCAGGGATTAATATCAGCCATGTATTCATTTATACTATAATAACCCTTTTTATACAGAGAACTTGTACACTTTCCGGGACCTTGTTATAATAGCGTATACATTGCCCCAAGATTGAATTACTAACTCTGTGTAGACGAGAAAATGGTATCACTAGGTTGTGTTTGTTCCTAGTGTTTACAGAATGTATATGACTTTTTTTTTTACTAACACTACCTTTGTTTTTGTGAACATACATTAAATTTTCGTAAATATACTGAGAAACCAAAGTTAATACATTTATTTTTTTAAATTTATGTCTAGTAGAATCGGTTTAGGTTGTAAATAGCTCTAATGGCCCTCTTCTGTAAAACAAAAATAATTTCTGAATCAGCCGCATTTTCCCCATAGCAAAATCCCATAAGACATTATGCTATGGAAATAACTGAAATAAAGTAATCTAGCTGTCTTGACACTAGTGAGACCTCTAATCTTTTTTACAGCATAGGCTGCAGAACTTATGTCTGTTTGCTAGTTTGTACATATGGGGGCCCCACTGAAGCTTTGCGTCGAGAGTGATGCCAAGAAAAACAGTGGATTTGAATCCAACAGGGGTCAGTTCTTTCCCTTTTAAATACACATTGGTACTCAGATTTTTAACATTCGTTGTTGTAAATTTAATGCATTTAGTTTTATTTCCGTTTAAATGTAGATTATTAACGTTAAACCAATGCACTAATTTTGATATAGCATTATTCACTACGTCACATCTAAATGATTGAGGTTTAAGTTTAAAAATCAAGGAAGTATCATCAGCAAATAATACTATATCATGATTATCCCCTACAAGAGAAGGTGAGTCATTAATATACACTAGAAACATGAATGGGCCGAGAGTGGAGCCCTGAGGGACACCTATTAGTACAGGTGACCCGGAAGAACTTTTACCATTGATAATAACTTTCTGCATTCTATTTAAATATGAAATAATAAGTTTAATACTTTTACCAAATACTACCAAGTACTTTTTATTATATTACTAACATGAAATATAACCGAACTACACAACATACACTCTTTTCCTCAATTAAAACTTGATACATTTATATTTGACCGTGTGAGTCGCAATGCGATTTCTTTAATAACGCTAAACTTTAGACAATCGTATTTATAATAACATCATGTACGATCGGAAAATATACATTTATTTAATTTAAAAAAAAACGGATTGTCTCCTGTAGAACGTATTACAGTGATTCTCTAGAAATTCCTAAATTCAGATAAGAATAAATACGAGTTAGCTAGTAAAGGTATGATGATGATTTTTGTATGAGTATCATACTTCTATCATAATAACATATCTTACACAACTTATATATGTATGTTGTCCAAATATTTACCGCCAGAAAATGGCCATCGATTCCTTAAACATTCTAAAAGATGATTAGGCAAAGGACATTTTTAACATAAAGCCTAGTTGTGTGTTCGTTGTTAAACAAAGTTAGCTCAATTGAATGAGCATGTGATGCGTCCAGCTGGTACCATAACCGGCTATTTGCACCCAACGATATACAATATGTAACAAAAACCCTGTGGTTGCCGTTAAGTACTTTATCAGGATCAGTATTGAAACCTATAGAAATATCTTTTTTTTTAATTCGTCTTTTTTGACTGAATAGAAAAATGTAAATTGGGACCCCTACCAAGGATATAAAATAAAACATTTTTAATAGGGCTATTCTGTAAAAACCTTTATTACGTGAAATGTTTTGTCTTCTCTAGCATCAGAAACTTTCATTTCAACTTCATAACATTTTCACAATCTTAGATTGGGACCAAACTTATATTATACTACTAACTAATCTTCAAAGTTCAAATTTGTTCTTCAGATCAAGGATTTCTTCTTCCTTACACTTTTCCACCGTTTTACAGTGCTCCAACAAATTGTTTAATACTGAAAAGGAAAAATATCATAACACATTTTTTATAAAACTGAAGTGACAAACGAATACTTAGGGTTCACCTGATGATAAGTGGCTACTGCAGCCCATGGACGGATGTGATGGATGTCACCTCCAAAGACTCGGCCGGTATTTGGAGACAATTTCGAATTTAAACTCAAACTTCACATTGTTAACATTTGTGAAGCGTAGTACGGACTAGAACCAATGAATTCGAGTATGTCTGATTACGAACTTGTTAAGTGCCTAGTGTTAATGACACACCAACAAGTAACACACGGTACAATTATTAATGGCGCACAATAGCTGCGGTTATAACTTCATTGCAATCAAGTGATACAAATAAAAGCCGGCTAAGTGCAAATCGGACTCGTGCATGAAGGGTTCTATACCATCGAAAAACACGTTTCTAGTAAATCATACATTTAATTTTTAATTTATTTTTATTTTTATAGCTGTTGTCGGTTGATGTTATAGTGGCAACAGAAATACACACTATGTGAAAATTTCAACTGTCTACCTATTATGGATAATGAGATACAGCCCAATGACGGACAGACGGATGGACAGCGGAGGATTAGTAATAGGGTCCCGTTGGTTACCCTTTGGGTACGGAACCCTAAAAAGGAAGGAAGTAGGTAACAAAAATACGAATGTTGCTTCATAACAAAAAACATCGTTCTGTAAGATGTCACACAGCCTGTATTATACTGGATCACTATACCCTTTAGACCGCAACATAACAGTGCATGCACTGCTAAATAGGTAAGAGAGTGTTAGGAACGGAGTCCCACCTACTAGTAAATATATACCAATATCCTCACCAAATATCAACCTCAACAACTTTTCAATGATTCCTGTTCTTAACTTCCTTAAATCTTCTTTCTTCTTTACCAACCCGCTAAAGCCCACTGCTGAACATGGGCTTCTCTTTCTATTTGCCATAATCGCCACGCTTCCTTCCAAATTGGCCCGTAAATTTTCACTGCTGAACTTGGACCCCCCTCTCTCTTTCTTTCTCTCTCTATGTGGCGAGGATATGCCTTAATCGCCTCGCTTGTTAGGAAAAATGGCGACAGCAGTACCAAATGTCTCGCACCTTTAGCACTGCTCTCCGTTATCAGATTGGGTATTTTTCTACCGACTTCAAATTTAATAATTTAAATATAAAAATTTTGTACAACCGACTTCCATATAAATTATTAAGAAGAACTCAAAAATTATTGGTCAGACCTTGATCAAATTTATATGGGACCACATGTGAAGCACCAGCTTTCAAATAAAATAAAATCAACAAAATAGGTTCACCCAGAAAAGAAGTAATGAGGTAATACAACAACATACAGTCGAATTGAGTACCTCCTCCTGATTGTAGTGGGTAGAAAATTTATTAGGTAGTATTAATTTTATCAATTGTGTGTCTTAATACTAAAGGGAAATTTAAGAGCTGCAGTAGTACAGGAGTTAAAGAGCTCACTCTAAACTTGACAGTATGCAACCATGAGGATTGCATACTGTCAAGCTAAATACCGCACAGACCATACATATAACAATACCGTAAAATAAATTAAATTTTAATATGAATAACGAAAATATCGCGAGGAAACCTGAGTGGGTGAGAAATGAAATAATTCAAGGACATGTGAAAGTCGCCAACGCACTAATTGCTCGATTAATCCGATGAGAGAACTGTAACCAGAACTAGGGCTTATATATTATGTCATGGTCATTAAATAAAACTCCAAATAAAATGACGCAATTAGATTATAACCGATTAGAAGTAATTTCTCTACCAACTCTCTTCCCACCCTCTCATTTCTAAACTACACCTCCTTTTGGAATATATTTCATCAAAACATTACTGGACTCATAAAGAATCTCCCTGCTTATCCAACAGTTTGGTAACATTACTCCACCTACCATACCCAGTATCACAATTCAAGTTCTGCCCCATATTTGATATCCCATATGATGCAATCATTTTCCAACCAAATATCCACCTCGACCTTGGTATTGAGAAAGATTGCCCTATAGCAAATAGTAAAGTAAGTAGAGTCATAGATAATTTATGGAAAGGCTGGCTTATTATATACACTGATGCCTCCAAAAAGTCAGATGAAAGTTGTACTGGAGCAGCAGTTTGGATTCCCAGATTCAAAATAATTCTTAATTTTAAATGCCCTTCTATTTCTTCCACTTTTACTGGCGAGGCCACGGCAATTCATGAAGCTTTAATATATATAGAAGCACACAACTTAAATAAGTCAGTTATTCTTACCGATTCCAAAAGTTGTTTGTTAGCAATTTTGTCAAACCAATTCCAAAGTAAATATAAGATACCCTTGATCCTCAAAATTAAACACACATTGTATAGATGTCATCTCAAGGGCATACAGGTTTCCTTAGCTTGGATTCCAGGTCATAGTGGCATCAAGGGCAATGAAACAGCTGATCTGATGGCTAAAAATGCCAGTCGAAATGGTTTGCCATGTAATTTAACTTACTCCTCAGACATAGTGTTACTTGCAAAGAAGAAGTTAAATAATAATTGGAATACATTATGGAAAGCCACTCAAAATATAAAAGGTAAACACTATGCTGCTATACAATGTGCCATCCTTCCAAAACCATGGTTTTTCAAATTCAATAAAGCTAATAAACATTCTACATCAACTATTTGTAGACTTAGAATTGGCCACGCTTGTACACCAGTACATTTGGCCAAACTGAGGATTAGGGATAGTTCCCTCTGCGAATGTGGGTTGGATGAGGGAACCTCCGACCATATTTTTTTTAACTGTCCTAAATTATCTTGTTCACTCTATGATTATCTCCCTCCTGACATCCCTCGTCCTATAAATTTTGATTCACTTTTAACCTACACAAACACTCCTTATGTATATATTCTGTGTGATTTTATTAACACTAATGGTATAAAAGTTTAATGTTTGTCAATACTAACATACTAATGTAGTTATAGCAACCGTGTTTGTCATTTGTTCTAGGTAATTCAACAGTATAACCATTAGTACTACAAGATAAAAGGGGAAAAAATTGGTTTAAAGGTAAAAAGATACTTGTACTATCACAATCTTCTCTTGTATATGGGCATAGTATTTGTAACTACTGAGCTTCTACTCAATAAACGCTTTCACGCTGACATTGGCGAATGATCAAAACCGCCATAAAAAAGAAAGGAGAAGAAGAAGAAGTAATTTATTAATAGCTTTTGTAAAACCATTTTATAAGGTAAATGAACTGCTGATAATTTAAAATTAAAAATTTTGTACAGTTGACTTCAACATAAATTATTAAGAATAACTCAAAAACTATTGGTCTGACCATCTGACGTCTGGTATCAAATTCATATGGGACCACATATGAAGTACCAGCCTTCGAATAAAAAAAAGAATCATCGAATCGGTTCATCCAGTAAAAAGTTATGAGGTAACACACATAAAAAAAAAACATACAGTCGAATTGAGTACCGTCTCCTTTTTGAAGTCGGCAGAAAATAAAAAATAATTCTATTAACTGTTAAACTCTATTTCATCTTTGATCATGTTTTAAAGGGTATCACCCCATATCATCCTGTGAGTGTAGTAAGAAGGGACCAAGGGAAACTGAAACAGGAGATGGGTAGCAGCATCTACATTCTTCAATTCTTTTGACAACTGAAATTAATAAAAAACTGCAGTTGCCAACCCGCCTGCCGAGCATGAACCACTATAGAAAAGTCCCTTCTTGAGGCAATCTATGTGGGAGGCCAGTGTTCAGTAGTGGATTTTTAATAGGCTGCAATAAATGAATGTATAAATAAATGTATGAATAAACTCACATTTCTTATCATTAGTTGACAGGAACATAGCCAAGGCAGAAAATCTTTTCACTCTACAGAGACCTTTAAGATAAGCCGTTATAGATTTTTCCCTGAACTTTTCCTTGTCTTCATAAAGAATTTGAAGTATTTCCGACAGTACGTCACTTTCTAGGGCATTTTCGAAGATCAAGGGAATTTTGCTTGGCTCAATAATCTGAAATTGGAATGAAAATTAAGTTTTTAGTATGATAACTCTTAATTTATGTCCTCCAGGCCGAAATACGGTAACGGTGGCCGGTCTCAACGGAGGTTAGCCATTTGTGCAGGACCGGATTTCACACGACCGAAGAGATCACGCGTACGATTAACGGCTTTACGCGATTTTCGAGGCACGGGGTAAACACTGCCAAGGGAGTGCAATTAGCTTTTCCCCACAAAACAATCCTATTACTGATTTTGGCCCGACCTGGATTTCAGTAGTGTCGCTTAAGATCACCAGACCAACGAGACAAAATTATTGATCATAATTTTCCGTTAGCAGACTATAACAGGCGTGGTAGCTCATGGGCTATGCGCTCGCTGTAAATTTCACTCACAGTACGCGAGCAATCCAGGTTCGATCTCCGCCGGCACCAATGAAATTGTTAGTTGCAATTTTAAGTGCTGTTTTACCACGTGCTCGGCGAAAAGGAAAAAATATGAGGAAGCCTGTATATGTCTGAGAAAAAAGAAAAAACACGCATTGGGGCAGCGCGACACACACTTTGTTGTTCTAAAACCCACTCAGAAATGAGAGGCCTGTCCCCAGCTATGGGACGTATACATGCTGTAATTTTAACTAACTTTAGACTACGAAATTTGAAATAGGTTTGTTATAGGTAGCTCATATGAAATAATTTTTACAAATTGTCAAAAATTTTCCCTTAAAAAAAGTAAAAGCTGACATCAAAGAAATAAAAAGAATAAAATATTTGTAACCCACAAGTGCAGGCCTCATGAGTGTTCCACTTTGATGAAAAAAATTAAAATAGTCATGGTAAATTTTACAAGAAAAAAAAACAGAATCTCATCAACTTTCACTAATAAATTAAATGGTGTTAAGATCAATACCAAGAATCAATAGGGATCCTTCTTAAAATACATGGAATCTTATTTCATTATATATATATCTCAAACTACTGCTTACATTTCTATTAAGCGAGTAGACTCACCGAAACACAGACCAACAGACGGCAGTCCTTATATTTTTTCAATTACATTTTTTTATGTAATCTAAAGTGAATCAATTAGAAAATAAACAAATCTTATAAATCAATGTGTCTAGTTATTGTAACGTTAATAATAATATGGATTTGATGTCTTGCTAAAAGTATAAGCACGATTTTATGTAGCGAAATTGTAGTATGACCAGATATCGAGAGGAGCGCTCCCTCACATTGTGAGGTGAGCAATAATGTCACATTCTGAAGTCGGTGCTAAAACGTAGTGTATACAAGAATTAAAGGCCCTTACCCTTTTGAGTGGAGTAAGAAATAGTATCACAACTAACTAAAAAAAAAACTATTATATTGATTTATTTTCAAAAGTATTAACTATTTAAGTAAAAAAGAATCATTAAAATTGGTTTAATATTAATAAATGGAATAGAATATAATGCTTTTTATTCAATATTGATTATTACATAATACTTATTGAAAGTCATTTTTTATTTACCACTGGTTCGGAAAATATCTCAGTATTGGGAAGAACCAGCAAGAAACGCAGAGGGGCTTTTTTTTAAACATAATTTCACTTAACAAAACTTTTGTTTATACAATTTTAAATGTTTTTTCATAGAACCAGCATGGTGGCGATCACCTTATTCGTAGGGGTTATTTTCATTCATGTATTCCTTGATATTATAATAACCCTTTTTGTACACTTTTTCTTTAATAAAACTTTTAAACTTGTTTATTGACAAACTTTGAACATGTTCCGGGATTTTGTTGTAAAAGCGTAGTAATATATCTCTTAACATACATACAAAACATATACTCAAACTGTCATACATAAAGAACAAAGTCATAACCTTCTCATTTTTTTAAATACACATCATAGCAAAACGAGACTACAATCGGACAATTTGTGTTCTTTGTATCATTTCATGGCCTCTGACCAGATGGTTGATGATGACTGAACTCATTAAAAACAATGTAGGTTACTCACACTTAAATATTTGCTTCTTACTCCACCTTGACCCTTAAGATTCTTCCACACGGACATAAATTGAACACTATTCACTGGCGGTACCAAATTGTGAACACACATTTCTTTTTCCGTTACCACTGAATCGGTAATCAGCTTTAAAGATTCAGGGCTAGTTAATTTTGTGTCTCCTTCTCCTTTAACTTTGATATCACTATTTGTTTCTTCTGATTTATTTTTTAATTTGTTTGAATCATTGTTATTTGTATCGCCTTGTCCTAAATTATCTTCTATCTCAACAATCTTCATCCTAGTCGGGAGCTTTTCAGGTGATGATTTTCCTAATGGTATTTCTTGTATGGGGATAGACTTTAATGCTCTCTGAAAACAATTTGGATATAAAAAAATATTGGTCGGCAGAAAAATACACCTTGCTAGTTGGTAGCAAATCCCAAGAAATGGAGTGACGATCTGAAGAACCCTGCAAGCAGGGTTCTTTTTAGGCTCCCTTTTTGCGTCCAACTCCACTCTTGATGACGGGGGGAACACACCGCCGACCATCCCGCGGTGAGAGTACTCTATGCCGGATGTGCGCTTCTCACAGCGATCAGTCAGCAAAGCATTCCTCTCCCTGGACATCCACAAGTCGAGTGGGCCTGACGAAATCCCCCCAATTGTGCTGAGGCGTGTGCTCCGAAGTTGGCACCGGTTCTAACGCGTCTTTTCCGGTACTCCTACGAGTGACGATCGAGTGACGTGCAGTTTCGTGGTCACTTGGAAGGGAAGGCCAAATTGGCCTCTAAATAGCTTGGCGTGCTCAGCAGAGCGGGACAGTATTACATGCCGGCACAACGCCTGCAACTATACAAGGCGCAGGTTCGGCCTCACATGGAATACTGTTCCCATCTCTGGGCAGGAGCTCCCCAGTACCAGCTCCTTCCACTTGATCGCATCCAGCGCAGAGCGGCTCGAATCGTCAACGACCGAATCTTTTCCGATCGGCTCGATTCATTGACGCTGCGAAGAGATGTTGCATCTCTTTGCATTTTCTTTCGCATTTACCACGGGGAGTGCTCTGAGGAATTGTTCGGATTAATCCCAGCCGCCAAATTTCACGAACGCACATCGCAGCAGAACTCCCGATACCATCCATACCATCTGGATGATTGGCGGTCCACCACTGTGCGATTTAGAAGAAGTTTTCTTCCTCGCACAACTTCCTTGTGGAATAGTTTACCACCAGCGATTTTTCCGGACCGATACGACTTAGGGACCTTCAAGAAAAGAGCCTACTCCTTTTTAAAAGGCCGGCAACGCATCTGCAATTCCCCTGGTTCCCCCGGTGTTGCGGTTTTTCATGGGTGGCGGTAGTCACTTACCATCAGGTGAGCCGCATGCTCGTTTGCCCCCTCTCCTATATTGAAAAGAAGCAGTCATCGAATGCAGGTGACTCAGTACCGCGCTTTGTGACAGTCTATGGAGGAGGCCTCTAAGCACGTATTTTGCGTGTGGAGGAGGCCTGTATTTAAAATAGTGGACTTGTTGGATGGGCTGTGATAGTGATAGGTGATGTGACTTTGTGTTTACTTATTCATGCCACCAAACAGCAGGGTACCATTTTTGTATGCTGTTTTGGGGGAAAACGATCTATCACTGTAATTACAGATTATGGGGAATTCTCGCAGTCTGTCATTACAGTCACCTCTGGATGACTGCATTAAAACAGCCAATATTCAGTAGTGTATTAAAGGTAGACAATGCGATTACCACATATAACTGGTAACATTATTATGCATACCACAAAATTCACTTAAAAATTCCTTTAAAAATACTTTACTTATAAATTAATAAGTATACCTTTGATCGCAAATGGGGAGGTTTCTTTACGGGTCTCATAACAGTTATACCCTCTCCCAGTCCAGATTGCCATTTTTCCAGTGCACTCAATTCCTGACTTTTCATCGGTTTATCAGGCAACTCTATAATCTTTGGCTGTACCTTGGGCTTCAGTATATCCTTGAATAGTTTAGATTCAGAAGTTGGTGAAGATTTGGATTTTGACTGCAAAAAGAAACAGTGGATATGTTAGTTAATTATAAAGGTGGTAATATGTCAGTAAATAAGAAAAACCATGCGTGAGTATCGTAACACTTGGTTGGAACAACCTTCCTTTCGTAGTATATTATTATTGATAAACGTATTAAATTTTTGATTAATAAATTAATTAATTACTAGCGCCTATTAAAATGAAGCGTAATTTAAAATAAAATAATATTTCTTTCATGGCAAAATAAGAAAAAGTGCGTGGGAGATGGATATTATTCCATCTCGCTTCCTTATAGCCGCCAAGGCCGTCTACACTACGTGGGTCGGGACGGAAAAATCTTAACACTTTTTCTCGCCTAGCCCCCATCCGCCACATTCGTACCGTCCAATAAGGAACCTCGTTCCTAAAATATGCCCTAAGAAAGATGGAATAAGTATACCAACATCTATATTTATTCCATCTTAGAGTTGACTGGTAGAGAATGCTGAAATCACTCCCTGAGGTCACTGGTAATGTAAAATAAACACGAAAAATACATGCTTAGACATGGAGCTGTGGCTAGCCCAGGTCAATCAATCAATCAAAACAATAAGATAAAGATAACCGTGTTATCTAAGCCAAATCAAGTGTGGCGTGGCAACCACGGCAAATATCATGCCTATTAGGCAATCTACCTTCATTCAGCAGTGGACTTTTGATTAAGTTATAATGATAAATAGTGTAATGAAAAGGGTATGCTCCTTTTACATTAATTACAGCCATTTTTTATAGAACAACGGTGACAAACGAGCACACAGTCAAGCTGATGCTAAGTGGATGCTGTGTCCCATAAATACTCGATTAAGAATCAAAATATAAATGTGTTGCCACCCTTGGGGACTGAGATGGAATGCCTCGTTTTCGGTAAATAGGGTCTCCAGTTCTCTACGCTCACCATACGTAGCACAGCAGCTATGATCTGCTATTTTACTCTGGTATTCTTTGGAGAGTGTGGTGCTATCCCAGTCGAGCAGACCCATTCGTGCCACAACCATAATATAGCTGCAACATGGCTCTACCATATTTAAATTCGGAACAAAACAAGACAAAAATTGATTTCCAATAATGGCAGTGATGGTAGCCTTTGTTCTCACATATATTCTAAGAGGGTTTACTGTGTAATGTAACAAAATCTTCACTAAGATATGTTCCAGGTTTTACTAAACTGGCAGTTCCACAATGAGCAAGAAAGTCCCTGTCTACAATCTAAGATCATTCTTGCCCATTTGGTCAAGTTTGGCCCATTTGGTTTGCAGCTAATGAAAACTGGTATAATTCTCATTCTCAATAAATAGTAAGTTAAATAAAGAAATATATTATTTTTGATAAGAAAGAAGTAATAAAGAAACTTACAGAAAACCTAATGGTAAGTGGCAGACCAGGGACACCTGCAACCAACTTCATATAAAGAAGCCTACAGATGTGTTGTCATTTCTGAAGACTAAGATTCCATCTCAGTCTGTAATTTTTTTTATAGGATAAGGGTAACAAACTAGCACACAATCCACCTGAAGATAAGTGGTTGCTGTAGCCTATAGACATCTATCTTCAATTACGAATCAAAATGCAGATGCGTTGTCACCTGTGAGGACTAAGATGGAATGCTTCGTTTCCAGTAAAAAGGGTCGCCGGTTCTCTACACTCACCATACGAAACACAGCAGCGTTAAGCTGCTATTTTAAGCTGGTATTCTGTGAGAGCGTGGTCCTACCATATATACTTGACTGGGCAAGTCGACCCATTCGTGCTACAACCATAATATAGCTGCAGCATGGCTCTACCACATATAATATTATACTGGCTTTATATACCCTTAGAGGGGAACACAGCAGTGTACACACGGACGCCAACCACAGTAATACATCTAACACTACTCTCTCAATACGTAATTTACCTAAAATATAAAAATATTAACATTATATACATACGCCTTTTGTTCCCATTCGGGCCTTAATTGCCTCAAGTTGCTTTTTGGCCGCTATATTGTTTGGCTCTAGTTTCAGAACTTCATTTAAATCATTAGAGGCGGCACGGAGAGAGCCCAGGCGTTCCCTGGCCGTGGCGCGTCGTTGGAGGGCCTTAACATATGTGGGATCAAGCTTGAGCGCTTCTGTGCAGTCGGTTTCCGCTTGGTGTAGGCTAGTAAAGATTTTTTTATTGATATTATTTTTATGTAGGTAAACATAAACATAATATAAAATGTTCAATAACAGCAGCCCACTGGACAGAAAAATGTCATTTGTCATGTAATAGTAAGGGCAGTCACTATTTGTAAGATTATCCCTTTGAGAATGTCCATGTAGATTAGAGTTGCCAACCGTCCTGTTTTCCCAGGACATGTCCAAGTTTTTATAGTCCTGGGATGTCCTGGATAGTTTTTAAGCAGCGTTCTGAGTATTTAAAGTGGCCAGATAAGGTCATGTATTATAAAATTCGCACGCCACTTTTACAATTCTTACGTTACGGTCGGCCTTACGGTGTTTCTATTTTGTTATGTACGTTATCGTTTGAATCTAGTCACATTTAAAAAGCGAAAACGAACCGATACTTGCATACATAGTACATACATTCGCTAAGTTGTCGACTCGGTTTGGTTCGCAGTTATGTTTGACAAGGCCTTTACTGCATCCTGTTTTTGAACTGAATTGTCCTGGTTTTTGCAACTTCAAATCCTAGTTTTTTAAATTTGGTGTTGGCAACCCTAACGTAAGTAGTAAGTACTACCTATTACATGTGATTGACGCTCGCCCACAATGGTTTAGTTCACTTTTTTCCTTAGAATCTTATATCTCCAGATAAGAATCTTTATATATGGTAGAAATTTTTATAGTAGTATAGTTTTAGCACAAATGTGTCGGGGCTGCTGCGGGGCACTACAAAGAACTGTCTGTAGGACATAAAGCAATGTTTACCAATAGAGTTGTGTCAAGCTATAGCACTGAAGACCAGTCCAGACCTTTTGGGAATGTTAATGTTAATAGTAGAGAGAGTTTATATATGTATGTTGATACTTGGTACAATTGGTCATTAAGATTTATTTTTTATAGGATAGGGTGACAAACGAGCACACAGTCCACCTGATGGTAAGTGGTTGCTGTGGCCCATAGATATTTACATCTATCCTCATTTGCGAATCAAAATGCAGATTGCAGATGCATTGTCACCCGTGAGGACTAAGTTGGAATGCCTCTTTTCCAGTAAAAAGGGTCTCCGGTTCTCTAAACTCACCATACGAAACACAGCAGCATTAAACTGCTATTTTACACTGGTATTCTGTGAGAGCATGGTCCTACCCCAGACCAGCAGACCCATTCATGCTACAACCATAAAATAGCTGCAATATGGCTCTAATAAACCATGTTTGCAACAGTTTTGACTTTACCCGTAAGATAGTTTTGGCTACTATATTACATATAAATTTTAATTCTTATATTGTGCTTATAAATGAACAAACAGCATATAGAGAACACCATCACTTTAACTTCTCCACACTGTAGGTTTACTCAAAGATAATGCTGATAAATCTGCAATTTGTCACTTTATTTTAAAGTTTTTAAGGTTTATTTGTTGTAAGGTGTATTCAATAAAGTCCTGTTAATAAAAATCAAAGAAATGAAGGCTTTTATTATATTTTAATTTTATTTTGATTGCAAATTACTTTTATATACTACTATTATATACCAGCACTATTATATACTACTATTATATTTTTTAATCAAGAACTAAGTTATAGAACCACTCACCTATCTTTTTTGAGATAGCACAAGCCTCTGTTGGCATAATATATAGCATCATCCTTCACCAATTCAATAGCTCTGTTGTAGCATTTTATGGCTTCATCCCACTTTTCTTGCTTCACAAAGGCATTACCCTAGGAAAAACATTTATTTTTTATTAATGTGCCTTGGAAGATATGATTTGTTTTTTATAAAATTAAGTGAAAAACAAACCAAGAAAAGGAATTGCCGATTATTACATTTTCTAATAAACCTGGAGACCTGGTAGACCAACAGCTAAGCACTCATAATAAATATAAATTTCAGTGTACAATGAACCTGTGTTTGATCCCCACTTGGACTAAATAAGAATAATTAATTGTAATTTTTAGTGCCAATTTACCATAGGCTCAGTGATAAAAGAAAGTATTGTAAAGATCTCTGCATGTCTAAGGAACAAAATATTTCTAGAACATGTGAGGTCTATAACACGCACTTGAGCACTGTTTGCTCTATAATCCTCTCAAAAAATACAAGATCTGTGCACTAACTATAATGAGAAGTGTAGAGGCTGTAACTTTACATTTCATACTACAGAGCAGGGTATCCCAACCTTTTTTTGACCAGGGACACTTTGATTTCTTTGTTCTTAGCAGGGACCACAAGGTGAAAATGTGTTAATCTGTGATATGTTAATCGAACTATAAATTTTAGTAACGACTTTTAACATAATTATATGAAAAACTGAAACGAAGCATTCATTCATAGTATTATAATTTGTGTATTTATCATAAAAGAAATCAGACATGTTTGGTAATAAATATCGATTTTAATATCAACATGACAAGCGGTGTTGCACTGTCCGCATGTCGAGAAAATAATAAATGTGTTAATAAAAGGATTAGGTAGGTAAAATATTTAAATGTTTTGTGAACAATATTTAAGCTCTTGTGGACCACTGGTTGGGAATCACTGCTATAGAGTATGCAATGTGTTGAATGATTATTTGAGAATAGAACCATCAGAAAAGCAGAGCTCAACTTGGTTCAGCTTAAGTGGTAAAATTATCTAGTAGTGAATTGCAAATTATTAATTACTTGTATTGTACTAACTATTAACAGTAATAAGTACTGTTTAGTGTTTTATATTGTTATACATACCCTTTCTTTTTCATACTGTGCTTCCTCTCTAAGCTTCTCTTGTTTTTCTTTCTGGCTCTTCTTGCTATCCAAGGACACAGGTCCTATTTCTGCCATATCTATATCCTCACATGCTTTCTCCTATGAAAAAAAAATTAAAGCATGTTTCGTGAAGTAATATAAGAAAGAATAAAAAGAATTAAATCATTTTACTTAAGCTTATAAAAATAAATTGTATTAAAGATATTAGTAGACTTAATCAGTTATAACATTTGTATTTAAAATAAATATCCAAAATTATTAATACTGTTACTGTAATTACAAATAGTGATGCAACAAATACTACTTTTACAAATACCATGAATACGAATATCAAACCTACTATTCTGCGAATACGAATACGAATATCTCGCCATAGTAATAAAAAACTAATTAATTTGATGTTATTCTATTGTTCTAATAATTAAAATTTACAATAGGCAAATGTTTATTTAAAAAACATAAAATTTGTAGATTTTCTGGTTTTAGGCGATTTCTCTTTTCAGTTTGAATGTTCTCAGCCGTTGAATAGTCTTGCCGAGGCAACTGTACATAGTTTCAGTGAAAAATATTTTTGGGAGTCCCCTGTCGTTGAGGCTAAGGGCCAAAACACACATATTGACGCGCTTTATCCAAGTCCGCCATTAATTAGAGTTGCGTACGAAAATATTAGTTTTTAAATATTCGTGATCAGTATTCGCCGAATACTAATATTCAGTAAATGTCTACTATTGGGCGAATACGAATATTCATATTCGTATTAGTTGCATCACTAATTATAAACAATTTTTTAATACTTTGAACAAGCACATTTTTCTACAAATATAATAGTCTATCCAGATAGGTGTCATCCAACACAGTCACTCAGGTATTAATAATACTATCATGACTGCACATTTCTTGAAGATGGATTTATAGAAATCATACAATATGGCAAGATTCATTTAAATGTGAGCAAAATTAGTTTTTTACATACAACGTCGAACTTTTCCCACGCACTGTAGTTTGAAGACGCGATCTTCTTTTCTGGCTTCTTGACTTGCACTGGTTTTTCACTCTTCACCTTACTTCTTACAGGAGGTAGGTCCTATCATAAGGTATTTCTAAGTTAGCCAAGCGCGACTTTCCAACGAACGTTGTCAAATAAAATAACAATAACACAAAGAAACAGATACCATTATCGAACATCCGACGCGACAAGGCATACGTTAGGTACATTTTAAACTAAATAAATAGTAAAATAAACCTAAATATGATAAGATATAAACAATAAAACAAGAATCTAACATCTAAACACAAAAATACAGACATCTAAATGATTTAAACCTGCGCGAAATCACCATTAAGCGCGGCTTCTTTTCGTTTCATCTCTGCCTCCCAATTTTGTAAGTCAGTGATGTAAGTCTGAAAAGTCTTGGCATTGTCACGGACTTGTTTCTGTATCTCAAACGCTCTTTCCATTTCAGTTTTATTTATAATAAAAAAGGGTTCCTTTACCTGCTGTTAGATCAATAGACAAAAATGACAAAATTCTCAACTGTCAAGTTAGCTGTCAAGTTTCAACCTCAAAATATTCAAGTTGTCATTGTCATGGCTCCTGACTTCGTTCTAAAATTAAGTAAACGTCAAAATCATCGAAGGTAAAGCTATATTGTTAATTTTTATTTTTTATAATGTCATTGGAGCAAACTTTACAAGGCGCAGGTTCGGCATCACATGGAATACTGTTCCCATTTCTGGGCAGAGGCTCCCCAGTGCCAGCTCCTTCCACTTGACCGCATTCAGCGCAGAGCGATTCGAATCGTCAACGACCGAGTTCTTTCCGATCGGCTTGACTCACTGGCACTGCGTAGAGATGTTGCGTCACTTTGCGTATTTGATCGCATGTACGACGGGGAGTGCTCTGAGGAATTGTTTGGACTAATTCCAGCCGCTCAATTTCGCCATCGCACATCGCGACAAAACTCGCGATTCCATCCATACCATCTGGATGATTGGCGGTCCACCACTGTGCAATTTAGAAGAAGTTTTCTTCCTCGCACAACTTTCTTGTGGTGTAGATTACCACCAGCGATTTTTCTTTTTTTTTATAGGATATGGAGCAAACGAGCATGCGGCTCACTTGATGGTAAGTGACTGCCGACGTCCATGAACAATTGCAACACTAGGGGAATTGCAGGTGCATTGCCAGCGTTTTAGAAAAAAGTAAGCTCTTTTTTGGAAGGTCCCTGAGTCGTATCGGTCCGTAAAAATCGTCAGAGGTAAACAATTCCACAAAGAGGTCGTACGAGGGATAAAACTCCTAGTAAAACGCACAGTGGTGGACCGTCAAGCATCCAGATGGTGTGGGTTTTTTTATAGGAGAGGGGGCAAACGAGCACGTGGCTCACCTGATCATAAGTGACTACCGCCGCCCATGAACATCTGCAACACCAGGGGAACCAGGGGAATTGCAGATGCGTTGCCGGCCTTTATTATGGTGTGTGTGGTATCGTAAGTTTTGTCGCGATGTGTGTTCGTGAAATTTGGCGGCTGGAATTAATCCGAATAAATCCTCAGAGCAGGTAAATGAGATAGAAAATGCAAAAGTATGCAATATCCCTACGCAGCGCCTGTGAATCGAGCTGATCAAAAAGAACTTGGTCATTGAATTTTGCACATGACGATTTGAGCCGCTCTGTACTGAATGCGGTCAAGTGGAAGGAGATGGCACTGGGGTGCCCCAACTCAGTGATAAAAATAGTATTCGATGTGAGGCCGAACTTGCGCCTTCTAAAGATGCAAGCGCTATGCCGGCATGAAATACTGTCTCGCTCTGCTGAGCACGCCAAGCTTTTTTGAGGCCAGTTTAGGATTCCCTTTCAGTGACCACAAAACTGCTTGTCATTCGATATGTCAAGGCTGAGGATTTCGATGCTAGCTGAGACAGTAAGGGGAGTGTACTGAAATTGAAAAGATACGACAAAGGGGTTCTTTTTCGCGGTAAACGCGCAAACCTGTATCTTCTGATGGTGAAACTGTACAATATTTATATGGTAAAGCTATGATGCATCTATATCATGGTTGTATCACGAATGGGTCGGCTGGACCAAGGAAGGACCTCGCTCTCACAGAATACCAGCGTGAAATATCAGCTTAAAGCTATTTGGATTCGTATAGTGAGTGTAGAAAACAGAAGACCTTTTTACTGGAAACAAGACAATAAGCCTTAGTCCTCGGTGGTGTACACCCATCCGCATTTTGATTCTTAATCGAGGATAAATGTAAACGTCTATGGGCCACAACATCAACTAACTCTTCGTATGCTCTTTGGCATCGTTACTATTTCAAAAAAAATTTTTTATGTATATTTTTTCTTTTCTATTCTTCTTTTTTATCTTTTTATCTATGTGAATTTGTAGTAAAAGTAAAGCGGCTGTATAATTTTCTTTAAGTTTATTATCCACTAGCTGTTCCAAGCGACTTCGCCCGCGTGGAATTTGTTACAATAGGATTTCATGGTTTTTAATTTATTTGCGCGGTACCCAAATTCTTTAACTAAAATAAAAGTAGCCTAAGTTACTCCTTATAACATCACCAATCTGTCAGTGAAAATCCCGTTAAAATCAGTCCAGCCGTTTAGGAAATTAGCTGGAACAAACAGATATACAGACAAAAATTTCAAAATTGTTTTTTGTTATAAGTACCGTACGTACTTTATTGCGCATTTAGTAAAAAGCTGTTATTTTAACATCACAAACAGACACTTCAATTTGATTTATTTGTATACGAGGGCGACACTGAAAGTTTTTAGAACTGGCCACTTGTAAACGATATAATAAAAAAATAAGTTCAATTTTAAAATTGAATTTACTACGATTTTATGGGTTTTAATTTTTTGCGCGGAACTCTAATTCTTTTTCTAAAATAAAAGTATCCTAAGTTACTTCTTATAACATCAGCTATCTGCCAGTGAAAGTCTCGTCAAAATCGGTCCCGCCGTTTCGGAGATTAGCCGGAACAAACAGACCGACAGACAGACAAAAATTTAAAAATGTTTTTTTTTTGTTATTGGTACCGTATTTACTTTCATATGCATTTAGTAAAAAGCTATTATTTTAACGTTACAAACAGACACTTCAATTTTCTTTATTTGTATAGATGTATTTTATTAATTTGTCATTTGTTTACGATTTGGGATGTGTGTTTAGCAGGGATGGTAGATATGATAAGGATACAGAACGACGAGTGAATGCAGGAAATAGAGTACATGGGGCTCTACACTCTATTGTGAAAAGTTAGAATGTGTCCAAAAAGGCACGTATGGCAATTCACAATGCTGTGTTAGTACCTACTTTAATGTATGGTAGTGAAAGTTGGATGTGGCTGAAGAAGCACGAGATTAGAATAAATGCTGTAGAAATGCGGTCAATAAGGAGTATGCTAGGGATGAATCTGAATGTCAGAATGAGAAATTGTTTGATAAGAGAAGAGTGTGGTTTGCAAGACGATGTTGTGACCAGAATTGAGAAAGGAATGATTCGGTGGTTTGGTCATGTAGAAAGCAAATTTATGTTGCAGAGGTGAACGGCAGAGTTGGAAAGGGTCAGCCTAGGCGAAAGTTTATCGACCAATTTGGCGATATATTGAAAATGGGCCAAATCAAGAGTACCTTTAACCGACGAGCGTGTATGCGTAGGTATATGTATATGGATGTGGAGGAAGCGAGAGAGGTGTGTCAGGATCGTGCCAAATGGAAGTCCATAGTCTCTGCCTACCCCTCTGGGTGACAGGCGTGAGAGTTTATGTATTATGTTTACGATTTGGCGGCAAATTGAAAATTGTGTGTCACGTCAGCATGAATTTTCGTACAATAATTTTTTATGAATTTCGATGTAATTTAAGTCAACAAGAAAGTTATGAGAGACTACGATTGGCCTTTAACGATGAAGCCCCATCTCGTGCCACCGTTTACAACGGGTTTAATGAGTTTAAACGTCGTCGCACTAATTTCACCGATGATCTGCGTGAGAGACGGCCTTCTACGGCGACGTCTGAAGTTAATATCAGTGTTGTGCGGCGTATGATAGAGACTGACAAAAGAGTGACTTATCAGCAGATTCGGACAAGCTTAGGCATCAGCATGAGTCAAGTGCACAAAATCCTCCATGAACATTTAGCGGTCGGGAAGCTTTGTGCTCGGTGGAAACCTCATAATTTGACAGAGGCTCAAAAACTCCGTCGTGTTAATTGGTGTCGTGAAATGGTTCAAAGATTTAACGGAGGTGACTCAAATGCTGTGTTCGACATACTTACGGGTGACGAAAGCTGGATTTGGGAAAATAGATGATGCCCTCGTTCTTCGGAAGGAAAGGTCATTACGTAACAATTGTTTTAGAGGATAAAAAAGAGGTACTGCAGAGTGATACACTAACAATTGTTTGCCACTAGTCTTGGAAAAAGTTCGAGAGAAACGACCTTGCAGTAGGATCCTCCTTCACCACGACAACGCCTCGTCGCACACCGTCAAACAAACAATAGACTACTTAACGACGTCATACGTGAAATTACTGGGTCACCTGCCCTATAGCGCCGACCTCGCACCTTGCAATTTTTATTTATTTCCGAAAATAAAAGAAAAACTTCGAGGAAAAGGTTTTATGGACGCTGAGGAGGCAGTAGCTGCGTTTCACAATTCTGTCGAAGAGACCCATAAGGACGGTGGGCAAAGCGCTTTTCTCAGTGGTTCCTTAGGATGCGGCGATGTATTGATGTAAATGAACACTATTTTGAAAAGATATAATAAAACTAATAACTTGCTAGTTTGTTCAGTTTTTGATTTTCTAAGAACTTTCAGTGTTACCCTCGTATATATGTATATAAATAGATATAGATATATAGGTAACTTTTACAGAATGACATTACTTTTACAGTATCAATGTAAACTGCAAGACAGTCGATGTACAGCATATTATGGGATTAGTTTAAGTCCGGACTGTTGAGTATAAAGTAAAAAACAGATAATAGAATTTTTTTAGCTATTCTGTTAGATAATATCACTTTTTTACTAAGTATTTATATGGCAACCTAATTTTCAGAGTCGAGAACGCATTCTATAGCCATCCCTGGCCACATGGCCTTCCTTGTTTGAAGTTGGCTGCAGGTGTCTATTTACTGAAGTAGCATTACCGTCACGAGTTATAAATTATAAAAAAATATTATTTTATAAAAAAAAAGTAAACATGTGTGCAGCTCACACATGGTAGAAGTGAAACCTTCAAACATCAAATGAAATTCGATAGTAAATAAAAAAAAATCACGGCAAATGATTACACTGTTTCCCGCGACTTCGTCCGCGTGGAATTTATTACGATGGGATTTAATGGTTTTTTTTTTGCGTGGAACCATAATTCTTTTTCTTAAATTAAAGTAGCCTAAGTTACTCCTTATAACATCAGCCATCTGCCAGTAAAAGTACTATG